GGAAAGAGAAATCCGTGGGCTCCAAAAGCAGAGGGTTCCTATGCCCTGCTTCCTAAGAAGTACTGCTCGGAGGAGTGGCAATGATCCCATGAAAATGAGCTGGTTAGGGCGCTGGAAATACCACTTCTCTAGCCAGCAGGCACGTCAGTAACCTGTATAATGTGATTAATAATATCCACCCCACCAAGCAAAGCAATTTTGAGAATTATATGAAGGAAATACATGTGAATACCTGGTACTAAATAGGTATTCAGTAAATGTTATATTCCCTCCAATCCCCATTTATGTTTTGGTCCTGCTCAGCAAACCACTTTCATTCCTCAGTCAACCCTATGCTCCATTTCCCACGTTCTTGCTGAGCGGTACTAGACAAAAAGAGCAAAAACCATACAGGCAAGAGCCAAGCTGCCTCCCCCTCCTGTTCTTATCCCTTCCCCTCTCCCTCCCCCTTCTCCTTCCCCTCCTCATTATCTCCCTACTCTCCGTCCTCTTCATCTTCTTTTATGAACATCACTCTGCTACTAAACAGTAGTCCTGGTATCCCTTCTCCTTCTCTCACCCAGTCTTTCAGAGACTCAGTCCTCTTCCACCATCAGGGCAAAACAGAGCCTCTGTCTGGGCAGCGCAAGCACGCCCTTTGCCCATGTGTCCTCCTGGCAAGGTTAGGCTGGAGTAGGGCAGGGGTGGGGCATTCTTGACAAAATACTGTCCTTCTCCCTTCTCAGTGGACAGATTCTTTGTTTACGAAGTACTGATGGACGATTGTTTCTGTCTGAGGAAAAGTTCCCTTCCAGAGTCTCAGGAAGGAGAATTAAAAATAAGATCTGAAAGAACTGAGATGTTCCTTTCGATTTCCTATGTCTGAGTGGTAACTCTCTCAAATAGTAACACGAGCCATGACAGCACTTGGCCTCAGAACATGTGGATGGCTAAAAGGAGGCAGATCGATAATTGAGTTACTCACAGACTTGCAGTTTATGATACCTTATGGAATCTGTGTGGCCTTGGATGCTGTCTCCTGTCACTGTGTTTCTGGTAGAACCCCAAGGGGCACAGGAGGGTGACAAATTGCTAGCAAGACTTTGCTGAGTGCTTTGCAGGGAAACAGGTCTGGTTTCCGTTTTGAGCTGAGCATCCTGGTCGAGACACTCAGTTCTCTACTTAGCTGCTCCAGAAATGGCTAAATTTCTCTATGTGGTGCTCAGGTTTCTATACTTAGACAGCTGTGGCAGCCCATCACTAGGGCATATTTGTTAGTGCTTCATACTTATATACTTATATAAATAAATTGGGCTTTCCCATGCTCTCTATAGAAGGAGAGGCCTGAGGTTTTTCAAAGGCATATGTTGTGTTGTCATCCTTGGAAAATGTTATCGTTTGTCTCCTAGTAGATCTCAGAATCCTTAGAGAATAGGAAATGTGACAGATAAGTTTTGATCACAGGGAAGGCGATGTGGGAACCATCAGGCATGGGATTGGAAAGACAGACGTAAGTATAATGCCGTCTCGGGGTCTTGATTTCCAGATGGTAAAGGATGTGTGGAGAGCTGAAAGTGTGATTACTTTCACCTTCTGTACCTTTTAACTTCCAATACCTAGGGACAGGCCATGGCTGTGGGCCCTCTCAGAAAGCATAGTTGCCTAAGGATTGGCCTGATCTCTGTCTCAGCTTATTTTATTTTAACCCTGGGGATATGGTTTACTTTAAGTTGCAATATCTTTGTTCTTTCTGTTTCCTACAGATTCATGAAGGTGGCAGGAAACACAGTGGATGCAGTTACCTGGCAACAGTAGGTATTCACCATTTTTGCTCTTACTTATTATCAGATGCTGTGAAATGAAAGATAAATAGTTGTCATGAAGTTATAACTGAAATTTAATAAACTATCTTCCGTGCTCCAAGAAAAAAGTTAAAACTAACTCCAAAATTAGTTGTTGGCAATCAGTAACTTTAACCATAATGAAAAATATTTTATTCTGCATTTATACTCTTAGTTTCTGTAAACAACAAGTTCCAAATATTTCCAGAAATTCTTATCCTCTTTCAGTTTGTCGTTGTGAGTCATGGATTGAGTGGGTCTGAGGATCTTGTCATTCCCTTGCTTAAAACCCCTCAGTGCCTTCCCTTTGCATGTAGACCACAAGCCAGACTCTCTACTCTGGCCTATAAGGCTCTTTGTGTTTGGCCCCTGCTCTCGTCTGATGCCATCCTGCCCTTACTCATTCTGTCCCAACACACTGGTGAGGACTTTCAGTTTGTAGAGGGTTCACATGCATGTCTGCCTCAAGAACTTTGTATGTGTCATTCCCTCTTCCTGGAATGCTGTTATCTTCATATTTTGTGTAGCTTACTCCTTCTCATCTCTTAAGATTCAGCTTACATGTCACCTCCTTCAAGAGGCCTTCCCTGACGATCCTATCTAAAGTAGACCCCCTATTTAATTGTCTTTCTTAGCTCGTTTTTCCATAGCACTTACCATAACTTACAATTACTCTCTTTTATACTTGTTTTTGTAATTTGTGTGTTTTCTCTTTTACCAGAATAGCACTTATTCAGTTCAACAAGTGCTTATTTAGGCAACTGTTAATTGGGCATTTACTGGGGGGGAAATAACGCAAATGATAATAATAGCAATGTGGCAGGAACCTTTATGTGTCTTACTATATCTGATCCTCAGAACAACCAAATGAGGTCAGGACTGTTTTTATCTATTTTTTTTTTTTATACAACTTAGAGGAAGGTGTATAAAATCCAAAGATTACACAGAAAGTGGCAGATTTTGGACTTGAAGTTGGTTCTGTCTCACTCCATGGGCTTCTCTTAACTGTTACGGCTTTGGTAAAAAGGCAATGATCCTATACTGGAAATATTACATTCTATTGGTGTAATTCAAATCCTCTTCAGTGTCCTCACCAAAAGCTATCTGGATAATGTAGCATAAAGACAAGAGACTGGAGAATTTATAGTGTTTATAAAGAGAAGTAATGAGATCAGTGTACAGAAATTAGTGGGTAAGAATGTAAGCATTGCTCAGTTATCATGGCTGACAGGGAGGGATCAGAGAAAGTTTTTTTCCCCTACTCAAGTACTCTCCATAGTACAAATGCAGTGAAGTGAGCCCAGTATTTTTTTTTTATAAAGGAGAAATACGTTTTTGTAAATACAGTTCGTTTATTAGCTATTTAAAAAAATACTGGCCATCTCTCAAGATAAATGTCATGTGTTTGTAACTACTCTAAAAATACCCCCAAAGCAGGCATGGGGTTGTGTTTCTTTTGGCTCCAGGATCAGCACTCATTTGGGGACAACAAGTAGCACCTGGACTCTACCATTTATTCCTTACAGCCATAATTTTCAGTCAAGACTTGGAATAGTCATGGAACAATTCCAAGAAATCTTGGCCAGAAGGAATCAGTGAAAATTAAAGCCAAATGCCATGTTTCTCTAACCCTGAGAAATGCTGAGGTGAAAATTTCTTAATAATGTAAAGGAAATCAAGAGTCACTGTCAGGAAAAGAAAAGGAGAATAGAATTTGTCGGTACAAATCTAGCCAAAAGAATCAATTCAATACTAGGATATTGAGCTTGGAGCTTGAACAACCAGAACTCTGAGTCTGAAGTCATAAGTAAATAAATCTATATAGTTAGACTAATTTGATTTGGACTTTCATGCTCTTGGATTTTCAGGACCAAGATACACGACTTGATGATTGGTTCTGCCCTCCAGCCCATGCAGAAAACCCAGAGCTAGTGAGATGAAATTCCAATTACAGGAATGGTGGAATAGCTTGTATCAAATATCAGTGATAAATCTGGACAATAATTAAATACACACACACACACACACACACACACATACACACACACACACAAAGAGTGATCAAAAGGCAGCAAAAGCTAGAGGAAGTTATTCAATTCCTGAAAGAAGTGAATGGCACTGGTGAGATCTGTGGTTACTTAAGAATCCATACAGTATGAGGTGGCTTTAAACTCAAAAGAAATACATGGTCATATTGATTTGAGGTGTTGGAAAAAAAACGTCAGAAGGTAGAACTCTCAGAAAGATGGAGTTATGGGGCAAAACACCAACTATGCATATAAACTTCCTTTCAAATCTTTGCCTGATCCCTGAACTGTGCATATTTAAGGGAGACTTCAAGGAGCCTGGGAGAAAACAACAGCTGGAAGCCTGAAATTTGAACAGAAATTTCAGCTGCTGTCTGTCACATGAGGGACAGAGATTGGAATTTGAATCCCACAAATTGAGGGGCTTGATAAACACCTTGTGCTTTCCAGTGAAAACTAAAAGACATGCCTCAGGAGTAAAGCCTATGTCCCAGGACTAAGGATTTGCCTTAAGTCTAATGTGTAACCACAACAGACTCACCCTAACGAAGTCTGAACTGCAGCTGCTACAAGAACAAGATGACCAGACGTTCATCCAACTGCCTGCTAGATCCCAGACCAACACTCTTCTGTCTCTACAACATATCAACCACACTTTCCAGTATACGATTTAAAAATTACTAGACATGCAAAGAAACAGAAAAATGTGGCCCATGGCCAAGAGAATGATCTATGACTTGAAACCCTGAGATGACCCAGATAATAGGATTAGCTGACAAGGATTTTAAAGAAGCTATTGCACATATATTCAAATAGTTAAGGGAAAATGTCCATATTGAGTGAACATATAGGGAAATATCAGCAGTGACATGGAAACTATATATATATATATATATATATATATATATATATATATATATATAAAACAGAACCAAATGAAATTATTAAAGAAAAAATAGAAAACTGAAATGATGGGAATTCCGTGGTGGTCCAGTGGTTAGGACTCCATGCTTCCAGTGCAAGGGGCACAGGTTCGATCTCTGGTTGGGGAACTAAGATCCCACAAGCCATGTGGTGCGACCAAAATAAATAACTAAATAAATAACTGAAATGAAAGACTCACTGGATGGGCTTACTAAGAGATTGGAAAGTACAGAAGAAAGGGTTAGTGAACTTGCATACAGATCATTTGAAATTATACAGTTAAAGAACAGAGAAAAAATATTGGGAAGAAAATTGTCAAAGGTTCAGCAACCTCACTGCCAATATCAAGTAACATCTGTGCAATTAGAATCCAGAGGACAAGAGAGGGAGAATGAGGCAGAAAACTTTTTTAAGAAACCAAATCTGGGGACTTTCCTGATGGTCCAATGGCTAAGGCTCCACACTCCCAATGCAGGGGGCCCAGGTTTGATTACTGGTTGGGGAACTAGATCTCGCATGTATGCCACAACAAAGAGTTTGCATGCTGCAACTAAGGGTCTGCATGCTGCAACTAAGAAGTCCATATGCTGCAACTAAGGAGACCGCATGCCGCAACTGAAGATCCCACATGCCACAACAGTCCTGGCACAGCCAAAATTAATTAATTAATATGTTAATAAATAAATATTTTTTTAAAAAAAGAAACCAAAGCTGAACTTCTCTCAAATTTGGTGAAAAACATTAACTTTTAGAACCAAGAAGAAGCTAGGCAAGCCCTAAGAAGGAAAAATACAAGGAAAATCACACCTGGACATAATATTTAAACTGCTGAGAACAAAAGGATGGAGAAAAATCTTCAAAGTATTCAGATAAAAATGACACTTTACATAGAGAGCAAAGACACAAATGATGACTAACTTGACATCGAAAAAATGGAGAACAGAAGACAATGGAACTGCATCTTTAAAGTGCTAAAGAAGAAAAAGTCAAACCAGAATTCTCTATCTAGAAAAATATTCTTTTAAAATGAAAGTGAAATAAAGATGTTTTGGGTAAGTGAATGCCGGCAGACCTGTGCTACAAGAAATACTAAAGGAAGTTCTTCAGACAGAAGTAACATCAGAAGGAAAGTTGGATTCAGAAGATAATGAAATGCTTTGGAAAGTGTAAATTTATAGATAAATATATTTTTTCTCTTAATTTATTTTAAAAAAACCTGACTCTAATACAAATATATAACATTGTATTATGGGGTTTATAACATATAGAGTTGTAAAAATATATGGCAATAATACCACAAAGGATGATGAAGGGAGGAGGCTGTAAATGGAGTTATACTGTTCCAAGTTTTTTTAATGTGAAGTAATACAATATTTACTCTAAGAAGACTGTGAAATTGTATTCCTAGAATTAAGGCTGCGGATAGAACTAAGGTTGCTGACCTAAAGTAGGGAGGTTATCTTGGATTATCCAGATGGACCCAATGTAACCATTAGAGTGGAAGAGGGAGTCAGAAAAGAGGAGGCATGGGAAGATTTAACTACAGAAGAGGAAGTCAGAGTGATGTGATATGAGAAGGATTTGACCCACTATTGTTGGATTTGAAGGTGGAAGAAAGGGTTCATGAGTGAAGGAATAAGGGCAGCCTCTAGAAGCTGGAAAAGTCAAGGACATGGATTCTTCTCTAGCACTTCCAGAAGGAATACAGCCCTCCTAATACTGTGATTTTAACCCAGTGAGATCCATGTTAATTTCTAACATACAGAACTATAAGATAATAAATTTGGATTGTTTCAGGCCACTGTTTGTGATAATCTTTTAGAGCAGTAATAGAAAACTATAGAAACAATACATAATAACAGAGATTCAAAGTACCCAAAGAAAAAATACCCAAAGAAAAAAACTAAAAGAACAAAAGGTGGAAAAATAGATAAATCTACTTTCGTAGTTGGAGATTTAAAAGCGTCTCTTTCAGTAATTAATAGGACAACTAGATTAAAAACAGAAAGGATATAGAAG